AAAGTTGAAATGCTTCATATGCATATTGTCAACTAGAACTCAATATTTATTTAGGTTCTTTTTATCTCTTCCAGGCAAGCTTTATATACAAAGAGATCACAGATCCTAAGGGTACCACTAGATGTGTTCAGGAAACAGACACACAACCCAAACTCTTATTATGTTACAGAACATGACCATCATCCCAGAAATTTCCTCCATGTCTCTTCTGAGTAAATTCCTATCTCAATTTCTGGGAGAAAAGGTTTTGGTTGCTTTGACAGAAGTCACCTTTGTTTACTTTAAATTATGGAACTGGAGAGCATTTGCTCTTGTGTAAGTCTTTCAATGAGTATAATTTGAGGTTCATTCATATTTTTATGTGTATTAATAGTTCATTTTTTTATTGCTGCACAGTACTTTGTGGATATCAATACTACAGGGTTTTTTATCAGGACATGTTTGCAGAATATAATGTTTACATTCCTATATGGAGTTGTAAATATGTATAACACATTTTAATTCCTTTTTTTATGCTCCTCCCCCATCTCTTAATGCTTTTCCAATTTGAGAAAATCAATCCCACTATTTCCTACTATCTTTTATTTTGCTCTTTTTTTATACACCATGTTTCCCATATAAGAGAAGCCATGCAGTGTTTAATCTTGTGTGTCTTATTTGTTTCACTTAAGATTATGATTTCCAGGTGCATCCCTTTTCCTACAAATGACTCAAGTTCATCTTTCTTTATGGCAGAGTAGTACTCCATTGAGTGTAAATAACACATTTTCTTTATTCTTTCATCTGCTAATAGATAGGTCATAATCAAATAATAACAAATGCTGGTGAGGTTGCAGGGGGAAAAAGTACTCTTCCACATTGCTGGTGGAAATGGAAGCTAGTACAACCACTATGGAAATCAGCATGGAGATTCCTCAAAAAACTGAATCTAGAAATTCCGTTTGACCCAGCTAGTCCCTTTCTATATATCTTCCCGAAAGAGTTAAAGGCATCATATTAAAGTGATACATGCATACCCATGTTTATAGCAGCACAACTAGTAATATGCTACAGTTTATGAAGTTTTCTGTTGATGGACTCCTGGGCTTTTTCCAACCCTAGCTACTATAATAAGGCTATTATGAGCATTCTTATACATCATTATTGTAGAAGATAACATTTCAAAGCACAGCAGTCCAAGTCTGTCTGATTCTGAAACACATGCTTTCCACAATACCCTGTTGCTTCTTTGTAGTGCATTATGTAGAGGGCATCTCCAGAGGTTTTATCCTGAAAGGATTCATTGTAGTGTAAACACAAATGGGGAAATATGACATTTAGATAGACAAAAAAATCCAGATGCAAATGCAGTTTTTATTAGCTATATCCTAACAATATGTCTTA